AAATTCCTAGGAGTGGAATTCCTGGGTATTTCTAGTTTTAGTTTATTGAGGAACCTCCATACTGCTTTCCCTAGTGGTTGAACATTTACATTCCCGTCAGCAGTGTAGGAGGGTTTCCCTTTCTCCACAACCTTGCCAACATTTGTTTTTGTTTGTCTTTTGGATAGTAACCATCCTTACTGGTGTGAGCTAATATCTCATTGTGGTTTTAATTTGCATTGCTCTGATGACAAGTGATGTGGAGCATCTTTTCATGTGTCTGTTGGCCACCTGAATTTCTTCTTTGGAGAACTGTCTGTTCAGCTCCTCTGCCCATTTTTTAATTGGATTATTTGCTTTTTGTTTGTTGAGGTGCGTGAGCTCTTTATATATTTTGGATGTCAAGCCTTTATCATATCTGTCATTTATGAATATATTCTCCCATTCTGTAGGGTACCTTTTTGTTCTATTGATGGTGTCCTTCGCTGTACAGAAGCTTAAGAGAATTTTATGAACAATTATATGCCGATAAATTTGACAACCTAGAAGAAATGGATAAATTACTACAAACATAAAATCTTCCAGGACTAAACCAGGAAGGCACGCTTCCATACTCATCATATTAGGCCATCATTATCCTGATATCAAAACCAGACCAATATTCCAGATGAACATTGATGTAAAAACCCTTAACAAAATACTAGCAAACTAAATTAAAAAATGCATTAAAGGGATCATTCACCATGAAGTGGGATTTCCTTCTGTGGCTACAAGGATGGCTCAATATCTGCACATCAGTGTGATTATGAATCCCACTCATCTGGCACCAAATGCTTTGGTGTCTTTTTTTCCCTACACTTATGTATAACAATAATATACACAGTAGTAATACTAGTATAACTCCATTCAGGTTCCCAGACCTGATTCCAGTGTGTGTAAGTATATGAGAGGGGTGTCTTTCAACACATACTAACACCAAGCAATTCTTGAACACCAACAGGGTATCCGAGAACTCAGTTATGATGCTATCTGCCCAAAGACAGCATCAAATTCCCCAGGTTAAAGGTTCTGTCCTGTAAGACTGCCCTCCACCCCCAATTCCAGGTGCTGGTTGCAAGGTCCAGGCAGTTCCCTGTGCTTCTGACATGCCAGCTGCAGCTTAGAGGTTCCCATGACTTCCCCTCTAGGTTCGATTAATTTGCTAGAACAGCTCACAGAAATTAGGAAAACACTTATGATTACCAGTTTAATACAGGATACCATAAAGGAGCTTCTATCCTTGTGGAACTTGGGGCCTGGCTCAGTGGCACATTCTTGTTCCCCAAGCATAGACACTGTCTCTGAAAGAAGCAGGATGCAACCAAGCAGCACAGAGCACAAAAGTGAGAGCTCTTTTCATGGGTTTTTGTGAAGTTTTCATTGCATAGTCATAATTGACTAAATTATTGGCTATTTGCTGCTTCAGCCTCCAGCCCCTGTACTCGGGTGGGGTCCAAAATTCTCTCATTAACATGACAAAATACCCATTTCACCTTTAAGACTCTGTAGTGTTTTCAGGAACTGTGGATGAAGACCAAATATGTATATTTCTTATAACTCATTCTATTACAGTGATGTACTGTACTAACAAAGGAAAGATTAAAATGATAACTATCATTTCAGTATATGCAGAAAGAATAGTTGACAATAATTAACATCCATTCATGAAACAAACTCTCAACAAAGTGGGTACAGAGTTAACATAGCTTAACATAATAAAGGCCATATATGACAAACCCACAGGTAACAACATAATGGTGAAAAGCTGAAAGCTTTTCCTGTAAGATCAGGAACAAGACAAGTATGCCCACTCTCACCACTTTTACTCAACATAAACTACTGGAAATCCTAGCCCCAGCATTCAAACAACAAAAAGAAAGAAAAGGCACCCAGATTGGTAAGGAAGAAAACTAGAGCTATTTGCAGATGACATGATACTACATGTAGAAAACCCTAAAGACTCCACCGAAAACACTACTAGAATAAATCGGTATACAGAAATTTGTTGCATATCTATACACTAATAACAAACTATGAGAGAAATTAATAGTCCCATTTACAGTGCATCAAAGATAATAAAATACCAAGGTATAAATTTAAGCAAGTAGGTGAAATATTTGTACTCCAAAAACTAACACATTGAGAAAAGGTATACATTAATGGCTATACTACCTAAAGCAATCTACAGATTCAGTGCAATCCCTATCAAAATACCAATGGCATTTTTCACAGAACTAGAATAAGGAACCCTAAACTTTGTGTGGAACCACAAAAGACCCCAAGTAGCCAAAGCAATCTTGAGAAGGAACAATAAATCTGAAGGTATTATGCACCCTGATTGCACACTATACTACTAAGGTATAGTAATCAAAACAGTATGGTACCAGCATTTAAAAAGGCAGACACATGGTCCAACAGAACAAAATAGGAGAACCCAGAAATAAACCCACACTTATATGGTCAATTAATATATGACAAAGAAGGCAAGAACATACAATGGGGGGGAAAAGACAGTGTCTTCAATGAATGGTGCTGGCATAACTGGGCAGCTATATGTAAAAGAAAGAAACTAGATCACTTTCTTACACCATATATGAAAGTAAACACAAAATATATTAAAGATTTAAATGTCAGACCTGAAAACATTAAACTCTTAAAGGAAAACATAGGTATTAGCAATATTTTTCTGGATATGTGTTCCCAGGCAAGAGCAACTAAAACAAAACAATGAGACATCAAACTAAAAAGTTTTTACACAGTGTAGGAAACTATCAACAAAACAAAAAGGCATCCTACTGAATGGGAGAAGGTACTTATGAATAATATATATAGTTTGGATATCAAGCTCTTACTGGATATAATGAATTCATATAACTCAATAATTTTTTAAAAACCTGGTAAAAAAATGGGCAGAAGACCTGAATAGAAATTTTTCCAAAGATGACATAAAAATGGCCAACAGACACATGAAAATATCTGAACATCACCAATCATCAGGGAAAAACAAATAAAAACTACAATGAGATACCACTTCACACCTGTCAGAATGGCTATTACCAAAATGACAAGAAGTGTTGGCCAGGATGTGGAGAAAAGGGAATCCCTGTACATTGTTGGTGTGGATAGAAATTGGTGCAACCATTATGGAAAACAGTTTGGAGGTTACTCTAAAAATAGAGCTATCATATGATCCAGCACTTCCCCTTCTGGGTATTTAGGTGAAGAAAATGAAAACACTAATTCAAGAAGATTTACATACCTATATGTTTACTGCTGCATTATTTCCTATTGCCATGACATGGTAGCAACCTGAGTGTCCATCAATAGATGAAAGGATAAAGAAGAAGTGGTACATATGCACAATTGAATATTACTCAGATATTAAAAAGAATGACATCTTGCCATTCATGACAATATCAATAGACCCTGAGGGAATTATGTTGAGTGAAATAAGTCAGAGAAAGACAAATACTGTATGATTTCACTTATATGTGGAGTCTAAAACACAAAACAGAAGCAGACTCATAGATACGAAGAATATACTGGTGGTTACCAAAGGGGAGGGTGAAGGGAGGTGGAGGGACAGGCAAAATAGGTGAAAGTTTGTACCTCTTAGTCCCCTTCAACTATAAGTCATTGGAATATAATGTACACCATAGGGTACATATATTCAGTAATATTATGATAACTTTGGCGACAGTTGCTAAACCTGTAGTGGTGATCATTTTGTAATGTATAACAATATCAAATCACTATGTCATATATGTGAAACTAATGCAGTATTGTATGCCATTTATAATTCAAAAAAGTATGATGGAAAAATAAAAACAAAAAGCTACTACCCCCTGATCTAGTCCAACTCCCTCTCTTTGTCCATTTGGATAGTGACCTAACTCCCTTCTTCAGCTCCACTTTTCCCACTTCATATTGCAAGGGCTCCCTCTCTTGATGCCAGATACTTAATATCAGTGCCCTGTGGTGCCCACAAATAAAGATGACTGAGAAAAGCATTTATTGGCAAGTTTAAGCATTAAAAACCGAGTCAGTAGCACTGGGATTGGGGGTGGTCATTGTACCATGGTACAGGATAAATTATCAGTCAATTTGAAGCAGATAATTAATTTTTGTATATCAGTCATGATCACTACCACTTATTGTTTGTATGCCAGGAACTCACTTAGACATGAGCCTGTAAGACAGTTTGTATTACCAGTTTTACAGGTAAGGAAACAAAAGCTTAAAAGAGTAACTAGCTAGTAATTGGATCGGGTTTCCTTTTTATCTTTTCAATATTCCACCCACCCCCACCCACCATTACAGACTTGAACTACTAGACCACGTGTCTTTTGGGATTACAGTCCAGGTTTGAAAATAACCAAATGCAGTTTCTTCACTGGGCTGAGCTTAACATTCCGTGATCATCTGTGCACTAAACTTTGGGCGTGGAGAGGAAGTTGGGGAGGAAGGTCCCATGGAAGGGGGGGACCCCAAGCAGAACTATTAGGAAACAAGGCATTCATCTGTGAAGTAAAGTTTGAGTACCAAGAGCCTACAACAGCCTAAAAAGCACATAATATGAGTGATGATGGGGATCAGTGATGAGAACTTCACAGTTGGACATGGAAAATGATTTCTGATTTAATTTTTAAGGGAAGATTATTTGGTTTCATTGGGAAAGGGGAAATCCCTCATTTTGATGCAAAAAAAAAAATCCCTTTGCTTTTCAATCAAAAATACCCCAGCTGAAAATATAAAGTACTCTTGGGTTCTGACTGAGCATTTTAGGGAAGATCCAGAGTGTGCAGCATACCCCAGTTTATTTGTAATTTCTTCTCATGGAAAATATTATTTGTAGTTTGAGCTAACAAATCTGGTTTTGTTTTTTTGTTCATTATGTTAATACCACCCAGACATTTGTTCCTTTAGTATTTTCCATCTTTTGCTCATACTGATTGCTTGTTTATTTTGTCTCTCATTTTCAGAAGGAGTTTTGGAACACCTACACAAAAGCACAACAAGGAGAGAGTAACAGAGGAAGCGACTGGTTTCAATTTTACCTTACCTTTCCACTCATCTTTGGCCTCTTCATTATCCTTCTTGTCATTTTCCTAATCTGGAGATGCTTCCTAAGAAACAAAACTCGCAGGCAGACAGTGACTGAAGGCCACATCCCTTTCCCGCAGCAACTTAATATTATCACTCCACCTCCTCCACCAGATGAAGTGTTTGAAAGCAGCGGATTGTCGCCAGGCTTTCTGGAGTATGTAGTTGGGCGCTCAGATTCCATCTCCACTCGCCTGTCCAACTGCGATCCCCCGCCTACCTATGAGGAAGCCACTGGCCAGGTCAGCCTGCGGAGGAGTGAGACAGAACCTCATTTAGACCCACCCCCGGAGTATGAGGTCATCATCAACTCCAACTCAGCCAGTGCTATTGCTATGGTGCCTGTGGTCACCTCCATCAAATGAAACTGCAAACTTCTTTTTACTATCATAATTTTTAAAGTACTAATGAAAGAACTTTATAGCACTTTACCACTACATAAATGTGCATTGACTTATTTTATTGGACTCTGACGGCATACCACTTCACAGTTTCTGACTTTTCATTAGTTGTGTTTCCTACTATAAAATCATTATCCCTGCCTATTTTTGCTAATAGAAATACATGAAGAGGGAAAAACTAGTAAGTTTTGGAGGTCTTCATGTGATGTGATGAGATACACATATATGTTTGTCGATATCTATATCTATATATGTGTATTTGCATATATACATACATGTGTAAGTCAGCCCAATATATGTGCAACTGTCTTATAAAACCATTAACTTCTAAATCACACCTATAAAGTGAGCATTACTCACAAAAACTGGAGGGAAAAGGCACCAATAATTTGTGTAATAGATAGCCAGCAACATGCTATTGAATTTAAGATGAACTTAGCATGTTTTCTAATTCTTAGTGGCTTTTGTTCACCTTTTTCTTCCACTGCCTTAAACGGGAAAAAAAATTAATGTGGTCCATCTTGACTGTAGGAACATCTCAGAAAGAGACAGGGATACAGGGAAAGCGCAGTACGAGCTGCCTTGTTTATAGTACAGAGCAGGAAAATCATTGATCATTAGTGGCGTTTGGGTAGTTTTATAGGGGAATTTTGTTGTTGTTGACTGCCTCCTCCCCCAAATTAAACAGTGTTTGCTTAAGTATCTGTGAAAGTCTCCTGCAGTTTGTATTAAATGTGTTGGTGAAGAGGATTTCCTGGCAACAGAGTAATTTCTAAAGTGGATAAGTGTATTTATGACAGAATAGATACAGACTTGTCTTTGCTCATTGGTGATAATTATTTTCTTCTTACTGTTTCACTGCCTTTTCCTCTGTTGTCTACTCCCTCTCCTCCAGGCACAGAATTGAATCTTCAAGCACCTAAGAATTTAGGTGAAATAAAATTCTTGAAATTATTTTCTTAGTGTGTTTGTATAGATGGAAGTCTTTGCTTCAAGATGATTAGGAGGCATTTTTCCATTACTTAGAACTATGGTTTTTATATTGTTCTCCAGTTGGTGAAGGAAGATTATCAGTCGGAGAAATGTCTGCCATGCCCAAGCCTCCTTAGTGTTGGATAAAATAGTTGATGGGGCAGAAAGAGTGCAGGTCACAGAAGCATCATACACCCTGCTGCCTCCCCCACCACCTCCACCAGCCCCTCCCCCAGTCCTGCTCTGGAGCCCAGACAAGGAGGAATGCTGGAGACAACCCTGAACTAGGAGGCAGATTGCCTCAATTTGAGTCCCGTTCTGCCACACACTTGCCATGGTAGCTGGGGAAAGACCCATAGCTGACCCTCAATTTCTCCAGCTCTGATGGTGATGTCAACCGTCTTGCCCTTCTCCGGGGGTTTTAAAAGGGTCTAATGAGATGGTGTGCTTGAAAGTCATTTGTAAGATACGAAGAGCTATCAAAGTGCAAAATCATAGCATTGTTCTTATTGCACTTCGGGGGGAATTTTCTCCCTCTGTTTCCCTACAATATATCAGAGCTTTCACATAGGGAGAAATGGAGTAGGCTGAGCATAAATGGCCAACATGGTCCTAATCTGAGTGTGTGGGCTATTAGTTAAGCTCCTGTCATTCTCTGGTCTATGCCAATGCTGTGCCAACATAAAGATGACAGCCAGCTCAGCACAGACAGCATTAAGCATGTTGGAAAGGGAACTAAGATGCGTTACTAGGTTTTGTAGCTTTCATGGCCTAAAAATGAATAAATCTTAACCCTGATCCCAGAAGAAATGTTTTGAATTTGGCCACAAGGACATGGTGATCTCTGACTTCTAATGAAAGCTGAATGTGAGAGTGTTTGATTCAGTGACTTATGTGGATATTTTGGGTTTTTTTAATGAAAATTAAAGCTCCTTTTGTGTGGACTTTTGTGGGTTTTTTGGTCATTAATATCAGGCCTTAGATTAAACCAGCAGTTTTCAAAGTGAGGCCCAGGAACCCCTGGGGGTCCTTGAGAGCCTTCCAGGGGATCAGTGAGATGAAAACCATTTTCATTATAATATGAAAGCACTATTTGTCTTTTCACTCTCTCTTTCAAAAGAGTTGAAAATGTAAAACAATGCTATCTTCCCACAAATCTTTTTTCTGTTTTAGAAAATAGAGCTATTTTCTTAAAATTATTATTTATGTTAGCATGTAGTAGATTTTTTTATTTTTAAAATGAATACATTAAAGTTTTTCAGTTTTATTTTCTAATATGGTAAATACAGATAAGATATAAACTCTATAAATAAAGGCTCTTTGGCATCCAGTTCTCCAATAAATTTTAAGAGTACAAAGGGGTCTGGAGACTACGTTTAAGAATTACACAGAGAAAGGAGCAGGATGTTCTATTACAAGTATATATTCTCACAACTTTATTTTACATTTAACTTCTGATAATTGGGTTTAATGTTGCCGCTAAGAGATATCTGAATTGCAGTATAAGATAAAATGTTGATTCTTAAAGCAAAAGCCAAATGGTTAAGCTTTAAACTGATCAATGGCTGTAGCTTTTTAAACTGTTGGTCAAAACACAGTAGTTCATAGTGATAACGGCACAGCCACAAGTCCTGTGGCAGCAGTCATGTGACAATGACAGGATAAACAAAATACCACCTTCTTCAAAAAACATTCTCTTAGGTTTGTTTTGCTTAATTTTGATTTGGGTTTCATACTTTTAAAAACCTTTTTGCTACCCCATCTGTTTTTATAAATGGAGTTTCTGAACATTTGTTGTAATTAAAGGGGCTTGCTGGAATAATATATATTTTTCATATTTTTGCCTTTCTTACGATTAACATTACATTCACTTTTGATCATTTTTGATAAAGGTTTATTTTTATAGATAAATGTAGTACCTTTCTTAAGCAGTAACTAAAGTGAATTAACCATTTTGCATTTAAATGAAAGAATGGGCTTAATGGTCTTCCAGTGGGATGGTTTCCAAGCCTCCACATGCAGTGGTTGTGTCTGGAACCCCAGAACTGACACTTTCTGCCTCCTTGCTTTGAATGTCAAAATGAATTGTATCTTATTAAAGTAAATCTTTTTTCTATTGACTAGTACAAATAGAGATGCTGTTTGACTCATTCTTAATGATTTCAAGACTGATGATCTGCTATGATAACTGGAAGTAGCTTTAACTTGGTGTTCTATGAATAGCGTGTATTATAATATTTCACATTTTTAAACACTTGGTTTACATTAAATTATGGTATTTAACTATTTTTATGTTTATACTAGGTAAAGTTTTCTTACGTTTCTGTGTTTCTGGTATGCTAAATAAAGCTATTTTTAAACCCAAAGGCTTCTTCTGCCCTGTATTAATTATATTAAGGCTAGGTGATAAACGTGGTACAAATGCTCTTATTAGTTATGGTCTTTTATCAAGGTATAATTATTACATTTCTTTTTTCTTACGAAGTTAGTAAATATTGTTGAGTAAAGAAATCAGAAATTAGTAAATATCTCAGTATTCTCAGCATAAGAACTTTCTGTACTACTTTTGAATGATGCTAGCATGATACAAAATGAGAACACTTGCTCCAAGTACTGGCAATAGTGTTGTCTGAAGATACCAAGCAGCTGGTTTTTTTCTTCCTTCGTGGAACAGCTTGCATTTGACATCTGGGGAGATGAGAAAGGAATGCACAAGATGGAAACACTTGTAACCAAAAGGCATCTCTGTAAGTACCTCAAAGACTAAAAGCTGGTGCAACATGTCATTGACCAAGCAAATGTAAATATGCTTTGATCTTCATGGTATAAAAAAATTAAATTATTATATTGAAGAAGGAATTTTAAATATAAAAAGTCTTAAGTATCCATTTTGTAAGTATACATCCCCAGAGAGTTGTCCAAAATGTCATAAAAAGATAAGAAATAACAAGTGTTGGCAAGGATGGGGAGAAAAGAGAATGCTCATACACTGTTGGTATGACTGCAAATTGGTACAGCCACTATGGAAAGCGTATGGAGGTTTCTCAAAAAAAACTGAAAATAGAAATACTATATGACCCAGCAATTATACTCCCAGGGATTTACACAAAGAAAACAAAATCACTATTCTGAAAAGATATATGCATACCTTTGTTTATCACAGCATTATTTATAATCACCAGAATATGGAAACAACATAAGTGTCATCAGTACATGAATGGATAAAGCAGAGATAGTACATATATACAGTGGAATATTACTCAGCCATAAAAAATGAAATATTGCCATTTGCAGCAATATGGATACAACTAGAGGGTATTAATGCTGAGGGAAATAAGTCAGAGAAAGATAACTACTATATGATTTCACTTATTTGTGCAATCTAAAAAAAAAAAATGACTCATAAACACAGAGAACAGACTGGTGGTTACCATAGGTGGGGAGGGGGCAAAATAGGTAAGGGGAAAAAATTAGACAAAAATGTCATAAAAAGGTACTTTAAAAATATATATAAATTTCTAAAAATTATATAACATAGATTAATACATGCATGTAACCCAACACCCAGATCAAGATAATTCTAGCACCCCAGAAGACTCCCTCATAACCCCTTCCTTAAATGTATCTCAATTCTCACATCTATCACAAGAGATCAATTTTAAAATTTTCATACTTAGCCATGGCCATATCAATGTGCCTCTTTTCCTTTCTTAAATTCTTAAGGCATTTCAGAAAAGTTCAAACTAGAAGTTCCAGAGCTGCTCTTCATATCTTGGCTCCTCCTTAAAATCACCTACTCCTCTCTAAGCACTTTCTACATAATGTGAAGCAATTTGAGGGCAAGAATTAGGTATAATCCTCTTAACTTTCTTCCCCAAATTCATCAAATACCTAAAAGTGAGGGCTTTATAAGACAAAAATTGACCAAAACATCAGTAGCTTTCTGTCTGATCTCCCTAATGCTCATGTTTCTGCTGTATTTCTTATCCCTTGCCATTTCCTTAAAATTTGCATGATGATATTTTTTTTCAGTTATTTTATTTACTTTATTTCAATCATTTCTTTAGATTTCAAAACCCACTATATTCTGGAACCACAGGCTTTTCTAACCATATCCTTCCATTGCTCAGATGATAGATATCTGAGCCTACTTTATGTAAGATACTAAGGGGATTAGAAAGTAAGGGTGCCTATAGCCCTTGTCCCTAGGGATTCTGCAATCAGACTTGAGTAACCTAATCTACTAATTTAGTGTAACCCTAATTCCACTTCAGCTCAGAGACTCTTTCTGTCCAAAGTCCCATAGTATTTACAGCCAGTTACCTTTATCATGCAGTCCAATGTATCAGTCTGTGTCGTGGCTTTTGTAAGTTGTTAGCAATGGAAACTATCAAAAAATTTTTCAGAGAACCCCAATATTTTAAACAGATGAGACTATTCCAGTTGACTACAAAAATGGAAGGCTTGGAATCTGACCATCTGTGACATTCCCTGTCAGTCCCCTTTACTGCAGCTACTTCCCGTCACCTCTGCAAAAAATGGAAACGGATAGCATATCCCTTAGAATTTGATGAACAAAATTGGAAAACCACTGTAGTATAACATTTATTGATATCCAATTTCTTATTATTTCCTCACCTTTCCACAAAACAAACACAAACCTACAGAAATCTCTCCACTAACAGACTGCTTAGGGTTCAAAATGCTCTTTTTCGTCCAACTGTTCCTAACT